TCTGGGACGTCCCCTAGGTCGCTTTTCATCCAGGGCACATCGTTGTTGGGGAATCCCCAATAGGGGGGTCGTATTTGGTCGCCAGGAGGGGGGTCGTATTTGGGCTGAGAAAAATTTATTTTGATAGTTGATTTTTCTCGCTTCATGGACGTTGTAAAGGGAGGGGGGGTCGTATTTGATCATTTTTGGGAGGGGGGTCGTATTTACGTTTTGGCGTTGTGGGAGTGGCGGTTGACTTTTGGTGATTTTCCTGTTTCACGTACTATATGCCCCCCCCCCCTCGACAGCAAAATTTTTGGTAAAAAGTACTATATGCCCTCACCCCGCTCGACGCTCGATTCGATGAGGGCTGGGGGGTCGTACCAACTCCCAAAAAAGGGAGGGGTCGTACGGGCTCGACCATAATCCCCAACTAATGCTGTGCCCTGCCGCCAGCGGGAATCAGCGTCCGCCAGCGACCATTAGCGTTTCGAAGGGCTAGGAAAGCAGGGATATCGATCTGGCGTGTACCAGCGTCTACCAACGTCTAGCAGCGTCCGCCAGCGACCGCCAGCGTTTCGAGGGGCTGAGAAAGCAGGATATCAATCTAGCGACGCCAAGCGTCCATCACCGACCACCAGTGTCAATCCGCGACCAGGAACACTGTATTGTGTAGTAACACGATGCGGTTGCACATGTCGCAGTTTCAGACGCCTAATCCAGCTGTCTTCCTGCCTCCTACTTCTCCATACTCTACCAGCAATCTGCTGCCTTTCCTACTTCCCATACTCTCTATTCCTGGTCGCTGGTGGACGCTGCCGCCAAGTATGAATGCAACCCTAAATGATTCAAGTCCTGGAGCAAATGCCATCGCGTGAGATCATCGGATGCGGTACTGTTCGCTTTGGTAGGGAGGCGTAGCATTTCTCATTAGGAGTACATTCGACTTGCCCGATTCCAGGTTTTCCATCAAGGTTGGAGAGACTCATGTAAAAGTGTGCGTGGAATCAAAAGTGTCCCTCTTCTCCCGTGAACAGCACTCGGTTCCAATTACAGGCGTTTCGCAGCAGAAGCTTGGGCGCGGTTCTCACGAGTTGAAGTCGGATCGCGTGCACGTTCAGCCCGCCTCGCACTAATGGCTGAAGCGTGCAAGCAAGTAACTATGGTTGGGGGACACGGCATTTGTGTGTGCAGGCGAAGGGCAAGCCTCTGCCCCTCCCCAGACACGCTCCAGCGTCTGCAGCAAGAACGGCTATATCCTCGTTGCGTATCCCACAATCTCCACGGATCTCCTCTACTACACTCGGAATGGGCATCAGTTACTCGGTTGGCGTGTAGTGCATGACACTGCCGACATCGTACGGGAGACCATAGGTGCTGAGGTATTTGCTTGGAATCTGAAAAGTATTCGTTGTCAGGTGATAGGCTGAACAGCTCTTGTAATATTGGATCATACCTGTTAAGGCGGAAGTTCCAAAATCCAATCATCTTAATTGCACATCTTTCTTTCATGGCAATGTTGATGGTACGTGTCGGCGAAGTCCGTTAGCGTTGTTGATGATGGAAGAGACCGAGACAGTGAGCGATTTCGTGCGAGGTTATGCCGAACTGAAAATCGTACAATTTACAGATGACATCGTCGTATAGGTGTAAGAAGGCGTGGGTTGTGTCGCGCAAGTGTCGCGCTAGAGGCCGTATTTTTTTCTTCCAGGAGTGGCCGTTTTAGGTGATAAACGAAACATGTTGTCTCCATACTCTGCCCGCGCTATCCTCAAACTGCGCTTGCACCGGTACCAATGTCCTGCAGCGAAAGCGCACCCAGAAGTAGAGAACAAGCCGAAGTTGGAGAGCGTAGGCAAGTGCCAGGCCATAGTCGGTTTGACTATGGCCTGGCACATGACTGGCTATACGTCAGCGGCGGGCGGAGTATGGAGACGACACCGGGCATCACTACTCTCCAGCCCAGTTATCGTGCACTTTTGACCGGAGAAAGTGGCACGCTACTTGCAGGGCCGTTCTCCCCATGCACGGCAGGAACCAAGACTCAAAATGGAAGCGCAATAAGGGACGCATCCCGAGGAGAAACCCCAAGAGCTTAATCCGTGCTTGAGTAGCAGGTCAGACCAGCAACAAAGTAGTCATCCGGAAGTTTCTGCGAACTTATTCGTGAAATACTTACGTGCTGACATCCCCTACCAATGTTCACCGCTTGAACTGGTTGACTAGTATCTCTTCCCACTGTTGAGAAACAGCCAGGGTTTTCTGCTGGAACATACTCACGGCTCGAAATGAACATGGCTAGGTTCGTCATATAAGTCACTCACAAGTGTATAGAACATACTCTGTCTCATTAGTGCGCGGCCGAAACGTCACACACGTGTTGTGTTCCCAGAATCTCATAGCATTCGTGAGACTTATTCGGGAAATATTTGCTGAAAAATAGCAAATATAGTCTGTTGAGCAGCAAGTATCTGGTAAAGCCTCAAAGGCACGGTCTACCCTTGTTGTATGGGCGGGGCCAGGCCGACGACTGGGCGCTACTTGTGAG